TGCGGAAAACTACACGACACTGAAAAAAGAGATAGAGGAAGATGTAAACAGATGGAAGAACATACCATGTTCATGGATTGGTAGAATCAACATCATCAAAATGTCCATACTTCCTAAAGCAATCTATAGGTTCAATGCACTCCCCATTAAAATACCAACGGCATACTTCACTGACATAGAAAGAACTCTCCAAAAGTTCATTTGGAACAATAAAAGACCCCGAATAGCCACAGCAATCCTGAAAAAGAAGAGTAAAGTAGGAGGGATCTCAATACCAGACTTCAAACTGTATTACAAAGCCACTGTTCTCAAAACAGCCTGGTACTGGCACAAAAACAGACATATAGATCAATGGAATCGAATCGAGAACCCAGATATCAACCCAAATCACTATGCTCAATTAATATTTGACAAAGGAGGCACGAATATACAATGGGGTCAAGACAGTCTCTTCAATAAATGGTGTTGGGAAAATTGGACAGATACATGCAAGAGAATGAAACTGGATCACCAACTTACACCATACACAAAAGTAAACTCAAAATGGATACAGGACTTAAACATCAGACGGGAAACCATAAAAATACTAGAAGCATCCACGGGCAGCAAAATCTCAGACATATGCCAAAAGAACTTCTTCACTGATACTGCCCCTAGGGCAATGGAAGCTAAAGAGAAAATAAACAAATGGGACTACATCAAAATAAAAAGCTTTCTTACAGCAAAAGAAACCATCAACAAAACAACAAGAAAGCCCACGGTGTGGGAGAACATATTTGCAAATGTTACCACTGATAAAGGTTTAATCTCCAACATCTACAAACAGCTTATACAACTAAATAAAAGGAAGATGAATGATCCAATTAAAAAATGGGCAATGGACCTAAATAGAATATTTCCAAAAGAAGACAGAAGGAAGGCCAAAAGGCACATGAAAACATGCTCAAAGTCACTAATTATCCGAGAGATGCAAATCAAAACAACAATGCGGTACCATCTCACACCTGTCAGAATGGCCAACATCAACAGATCAACAAACGACATGTGTTGGCGAGGCTGTGGAGAAAAGGGAACTCTTGTGCACTGCTGGTGGGAATGCAGACTGGTGCAACCACTGTGGAGAACAGTGTGGAGTTTCCTCAAAAAACAGAAAATGGAACTCCCATTTGACCCAGTAATCCCACTCCTAGGAATATATCCCAAGAAACTAGAAACACCAATCAGAAAGGATATATGCACCCCTATGTTCATAGCAGCACAATCTACAATAGCTAGAATTTGGAAACAGCCTAGGTGCCCATCAGCAGATGATTGGATCAAAAAACTTTGGTACATCTACACAATGGAATACTATGCTGCCATAAAAAAGAAGGAATTCTCATCATTTGCAGCAACTTGGATGGAAATGGAGAACATCATGCTGAGTGAAATAAGCCAGTCATTGAAAGAAAAACACCATATGACCTCACTCATTTGTGGATAATAAAGAACATTATAAACTGATGAACCAAAAGATAGATATAGAGACAGTATATCAACAAGCAGACTGTCAAATTACAGCGGGGAGGGGAGGAAGATCTGGGGGAGATAATAGATCAACCAAAGGACTTTTATACATGCACATAAGTACAACCAATGGACATAAAACTCTGGGGAGGGAAGGGATGTGAGGGAGGGAGGGAGGGGGGGAAAAATCAAAAAAATATATATATATTAAAAAAAAAAAAAAGACTGAAGAAAGGAAAAAAAAAAAAAAAAATGCATTGACCGAATTTTTTGCATCAAAATCACAAGAATTTTACAACAGAGGGATTAAAATGCTTCCTGAGCATTGGGCACAAGTAGTAGAAAACAACGGCAACTATATTGTTGATTAAATTTTGTTGTATTGTTTAAATAAATTCGATTTAAAAAAGGTATTAGAAAACGACATTAATTATTACTAGACCTAATATTAGCTTATTTGTCCGTTCTATACCAGTATATTAATTACTATATACTAATTACTGTGGCTTTGTAATATATCTTAATAGATATGGGCATTTCCCTTTATATTACAGAAAAATTTTCTCAGGATAGTATTTCAGCCCTTCATTTATGCTTAACATTTTATGTTAACATATTTTACTAGCAACTTTTAGACATCTTATAGAGTGAACCTATTTTCCCCTCAAAATGCAAATAAGGCCCTATTTTTCACAGTTCACAGTAGTTTCGTTTCTTTAACTGTATCACCCCTCGTTTCATTGACTTTACTTGAAATTGCTGATTCTAGACTTTGCATGTTAGACTTTTCTTCCTTAAGCTCTCTTCCCCTTTTCAGAGGTTTGCCCATCAGCTGCATATGGAGTGGATATTCACATCTATCTTGTGTTTTCCAGAAGGTTTGATTGTGAACAATATGTCTCAGTGACTAATGGGAACTTCAAATTGGCATGATGACTTTCTTCCAGGATTCCTATCCCCTTTTTCTTTTTTGGTCTCAGTTAAATCTAGAGTGGATTTCCTTGTTGCTTCTTTAACCTTCACTACTTCTGGGAAAATATATCAAGTCAATAATTTATTAAATATCATGTGGGAATTACATATAAAAACTATATTGAAATTATGATTATCTTACTCAAAATTAACTTTATGTAAGGAAAAGGATCAAGATAATAGATAATGCACCACCATGTTACAAGTGGTTATATTTGGTGATAGAGCCAGAGGTGATTCATCATCTTTGTTTTTTCAAGATTTAAACGAATTAGCATGGGTAACTTTTAACATCAAAACGAAAATTTACAAAAAGGCTGTGAGATATTCTCTTTTCATAGAATTAGATTTTTAGTAAATGTTTGGATGACTGAAATCTCCTAGCACAGTGTATCTTGTGAGGAACTGAGTTGGGAAAATATTGTCCAGACCTTCTGGCTGGCCCATGATCTGTTGCCTCTTTTCCCGATGATATAATGTCTCTTTTTCTTTTGTTGTGTCCTTGTCCAAAAGCTTTCCGCTATACTCTCAGAAGAAACCAAAAGCCACCATGCACCAAGATGTGTGTGCCTACACATGCATGCTCCTCCCCCACGCTTGCACGGACACTTTCTCGGTCACAAACATAAACATACAACACAGCTACTCATCAGAAGTTCCCTGTTTTGCCTCAAAGCTGCCAGCACTAAGACCAACTACAAGTATTATCAAATCTAGACACATTACTTCAGGCTTCTCCAGCAACATTAGAGGAGAATATTTATAGACACTAGATATAGACTAGAGATATTTTTTAAATAGTGCTGCATTATAATTGTGTTATGTAGAGAAGTTCTAAAGCAGGGACAAAACTATAACATATTAACAGGAGAACTGGATTGTCTCTACAGGGCACTGACTGCCTATATCAGTGACTTCACAGGATTGTCTTGTGTAAGTTGTGAACCTCCGAAGCCAGAGGACTGTTCATGTGAGACCCTTGCATAAGACATGTAAATACCCCCTTTGCATGTATAAAGATGAAGGCTGGTTTCTATGCAAAATGTCCTTTGCATTTACAAAGACAAAGCCCGGTTTCTATGGTTATTTTCCAGGCAAATTTGCCGTAAGTAATCGATTGTATGACTTTTACCTGGATTCAGACCTGAGAATTTTATGTTACTCCTTCTGGAGATGCTGTGTATCATCCTGACAGCCTTGTTATTGTCTAAGGATCTTTGTGGGCACTACAGGAATGGAGTGGCTAGATTTTGTGAAATGGAAAGGTTTTCCCATCCAAGGCAAGGAAGTCAGTCGCCTTAGAGTGTGGTGATGAGTAGTCTGGGCTTTGGAGTCAGACCTTGTTTTAAATCTCAGAGCTATACCATAGTAGCCGTGTGACTTTGCCAAAGTCATCTAACCTTTGTAAAGATCCATGCCTATCTAATTTTTTTTAAAAATATATTTTTATTGATTTTTTACAGAGAGGAAGGGAGAGAGATAGAGAGCTAGAAACGTCGATGAGAGAGAAACATCGACCAGCTGCCTCTTGCACACCCCCTACCGGGGATGTGCCCGCAGCCAACGTACATGCCCCTGGCTGGAATCGAACCTGGGACCTTTCAGTCCGCAGACCGATGCTCTACCACTGAGCCAAACCAGTTTCGGCCATGCCTATCTAATTTTGAGAATGAAACCAAATAGTACACTAGTATATAGAGCATTGAGTAGTGCCTGCCATACTTAGTAAGTGGAACTACATAGTCATTATCACTAAAAATATCAATGGTATTATCAAGTGCTGCCTGGATGTGCCTTGTCATCATAGTGCTCTTGACTCTTCATAGGTCTTACTCTGCAGAGCCTTGGGGCGCTGTCTCAGGACATGCCTCTCTGATGTTTAGCCTCCTTTTACCCGAATGTCTCTGTTTTGTCCAGGCCAGTGAATGACACAAAGAGAGTAGTCATTTGATAGGAATACTCTGGGGTTCAGCACAGCTTTAAAGTATTTAGTTAGAAGCATCTCTGAAGCACATTGACAATTTGTTGTGTGTTTTCTTAAAGCTAAATGCTAAATGCTATAAATAAATAAATAAATAAATAAATAAATAAATATAAATGGCATCACCAAAGTAACCGTAGGCATTTTCAAAGAGTTTGGGAAAATCTTAGATGTTGTCCGTAATCCAGATACAGCGTAAGCCTCTTTCTCGTTGACAGACAGCCCCTGGGACATAACAAGCCTTTTGTGGCGGTTCTAAAAGCAGTGCTCAGGGTCAGTTCCATTTCTCATCAGAAGGAAAAATTCCTGCACCTGGATGAACCTCTCTTGGCAACAGAAGCCAAAGGCTCTAACCATTCAATTAGAGCCTGTTGGAAGTTCCCCAAACAAAACCCTCATGTGTTCCAGGAACAGCATTGTTCAAATAGCATCTGGCATGTAGTAGGGGCTCAAGTTATATTTGCTGAATGAATGCACGATCGAATGATCGGATGGATGAGGAGTTAACTTGGTGATGTCCCCTTTTGTGTTTTGACTTCAGAAGCACCCGAAACTGTTCAGCCCAGTGCCACAGCGCAGCCGGCCGCCTCCCAGTCTTTGCCGCACATCCGGCAGCAGCTGAGGAGTGAAGACTGCTACCATGGCAAGCTGAGCAGGAAGGCGGCAGAGAACCTCTTAGTAAAGGATGGGGACTTTCTGGTTCGAGAGAGTGCCACCTCTCCGGGCCAGTATGTGCTGAGTGGCCTCCAGGGAGGCCAGGCAAAGCATCTTCTTCTGGTGGATCCCGAAGGCAAGGTATGACTGCCTTCTCTCTGTAGTCCCTATAGGATGTTGTGATTAAGGTTACTCTGAATGACAGGTCCCAAACCTGTTGATATTGTTGAAGAGTATTCAAGGCTAAGGGTTTATTTTTACTTGAACCCTCTGACTGGGGCAGCAAGTCCTAAATAGAGGTTAGTGGAGAGATTTGATAGAAGGCACCTTATAGGATGGAACAGAGGATAATCTCTTTCTGCCCCTCTCAATTCAATTCAGTGAATTAAATGAACACCTCCATGGTTCAAGGTTGATTATGCCCAGTTGACTATTGCTCAATATCACATACTTAGTTCTTGCTGTCAGGATACTTATGATTTCATAAAAATAGATGCTTAAATTATTATAAGGATGAATGGCATAAGAATGGTTCAGCTAAAGTATTAGGTGTTCCTCAGGATGGAGGAATGCTCTGGATGAGGCACTCAGAAAGGCTTCCTGCAGGGTCTGGCATATAAGATGAACCTTGAAAGAGGGCAAAATTGTTAAAGGGGAGGGCATTTGGAGTATAGGAAAGGAACCATAGGAGCAGAGCAGCAGAATGGTGTTAAGCCAATAAAGAATGTATGGCTGGAGCAGAGGCTGCCTGTAAAGACAAGATCCTGGACTAAAATGAATAACTGTCAAAAGAGACAAAGAATCATATTGTCTGTATATATAAAAGCCTAAGCAACCATTATGACAGGATGACTGGCCAATAGCTCAATGCAGGAGCTGCTCCTAGTGGTCAGTGCACTCCCATGGCCAACCTCTCATAGTCCCTCCCACAGCTAGCAGACCCCAATCATCCCAATCAGGACAGAACTGGGAAGACAGCCCCGATGGCTGACCAGGCTGAGAGACCCCACCCGTGCATGAATTTGTGCACCGGGCCTCTAGTATAACGATAAAAGGATCAATTCACTAGAAAGATATAGCAATTATCAATATATCAATTCACTAGAAAGATATAACAATTATCAATATAAAATAACAATTATTCTATAACTATAGAACACAAATATATGATACAAACATTGATACAACTGAAGGGAGAATTTGATGACGAGTGCTTACCATCTTCTAAACTGGGAGGGACAGTTGTTTAAAAAAGTACTTTTACTAAAGAATATAGAGTTAAAAAGTATCTTTTCTTTTTTTTTTTTTTTTTCATTAAGCAAAATGCCTCCTTCAGGGTTATGTGTCATGTCTCTCCCCTCTCTCCCTCCCCCCCAGTTGTTTGCATCTGTCAGGAGAACTATTATCATTTAACATACTTTTGTTCCTCCTTTTCAAGGTAAGGACCAAGGATCACATATTTGATAATGTTGGCCATCTTATCAGATACCACATGGATAATAGTTTGCCAATCATCTCTTCTGGAAGTGAAGTAAGCCTTAAACAACCAGTGAGAAGAGATAATATTCCAGGACTTTTGCATTTAAACAAATGATAATATGGAAATACCATCACACTGGTAATTCAAGAAACTCCATTTTGTGTTAGGACACAAGGATGATTCAAACTTGGTTTCTAGATACATAGAACACAAACTGTGAAGTGTATCTTTTGAGACCATTATGGACTAACGAAAACTGATCTTCAGAAAGTGGAAGTCACAAGAGGGGAAAGGATTGGTCCATTTGAGAAGTTATACATATGCACGGATGTCACTTTTTAAGGCCATATTGCATTGATAACAAGCTAAAAGCACAATTAAAATCTCACATGCTAAAGACAACTTGAATGAACTGCTGGGGCAGTGGTATGTGCCTTTCAACTTGATCATTAGGGGACATTTTCATATTGGGGAGATGAGTTCTAAGTGTCTTCGTATTCGATAACTACAGAACCATTTGCAAAAAACAAAACAAAACAAAAAAACACAAAAAACCTTTCCTTGTTACAGAAATAAGGAGCAATTTGCTTGATGGATATTGACTTTCATTTTTCTATTTACTAGCACTTTCACTGCAATGTTAAAATAAATTTGACATTGAATCTGGACTGTGTCTATGGCAGTGGAATCAAATCAAAAGCCACTGAAAGCACTGGTCTATTGCACTGACTGGTCCCATTTGCTGGTTAAAGGACTGGGGCCCAAATTGTGTGGCCTAATCTTTCTCGATTTTTGCTATTTGGACTGTTTGTATGCGGCATGTGACAAGCTGAAGCAGCCGAATTTAGTAGTCATTTCTGATTTCATCATATTTCTCCCTCCATCCTTCTGCCAACCAAAAAAAAAAAAAAAAAAAAAAAAATCTCATGAGTACATGGATTTAAAAGACATCAAACAGACCAGTGTTCTTCCTAATTAATATCCACATTGGTTCTATTATTATTTAAAATGCTGAATTTATTTGAAGGGATGGGGAGATCTCCTCCTGATTGGCTGCATGATGTTCCCTTACCTTTTCTAGATAAGATCAGGTCTAATGCAGAAGGGAGAAAACATAGTGAATGACAGTCGGAAAGGTTTGCCATGTAGAGATGCAGTCGTAAAATGATGGTATAATTAAGCGCTATGTAGAGGAAAGCACTGGGTTGGCTGTCATCAGGGTGACCACGAACAAATTGCTGAACCTGTCTGGATTCCCATTTCCATGTTTCTAATGTGAGAGAGTTGGGTTAGTGTCTGTTTCAGCCCTCACGTAAGTCTATAAAAAGCAAAATTCCCATTTAATGGCAGTCAATGTTGATCACCGGTCTGTATAGTTAATGTGAAAACTTCAGTATTTTCTTTTAGTCTGTGTCTATACTCAGAATGAATGGCACAACTGAGACCAACATTCAGATAGAGGACACCACAAGCCTTTCAGTAAAAAACATTGGAACTGGAATAACATAAGTAAATATGGTAGAAGTGGATCTGGTTGTTTTGAGTAGCAAGAAAACTGCTTCAGTTCTTTACTTTCCTTTGCATGTAGACATATGGCCATTACTATAAAGTGTTTTTTCATCCTTAGTTATCTGGATAATAGTCTTAACTCCACTTCATTTTGGCTATGTAGATCCAACTTAGTATTTGTAATTGTGATATATTTGCTAAGTTTTAAATAAAATGTGGGAAACTTCTTTTGGATAGAAATAATCAGAAATCAAGCATACTGAACTAATATTTTTATGAAAAGTTTTATGATTTTACTTGATTTCATCTATTAACTTCTTAGTCAGGTTTGTTTCCTTCTATACAACTAGGAAAGAATGCATTTTTCATCAATTTTGCATTACATCTTAGATCTTGATTATCTGTACTCATAAAGGAAGGGGTTTAGGAGGATATAAATCTTAGAGACTTATGGGTGATCTAATCACCTTTATCAGAGACAGAGAAGGGCTGTGGTCTCAGCCTGCAGAGTAGTGTTCCTTGGGTAGCAAGAAAGAGTTCTTGGTCCAAAAAAAATGCAGAGAGCATACATGATGTGAGCAGTGCACATGGAAAATCAATGTTTGACTGTGATGGTATCTTAGTTGGATGAGCAAATATCATACTTACAAATACCGCAGCCACAGTGAAAATAGAAAGAAACAACAAAGGAAATGTTTGATTGCATGCTCTTTTACTGACACTCTCTCATATTCATCTGTCTTAAAGTGGAAATCCATTTGACTATAAATACCTGTAAATGATTTTTCAGAAAAATAAATGATTATTACTTTGTGACTATTGACAGTATATGTCTGATGTTTGGGATTTGGAAAATTTGTCATCCGTGGGCTCTGTCAGAGTCGCGAGAAGAAACAGGTGGCTCACCTAATGTGGGTAATTTGAGATTTTAATAAAGGGATTGTGTTTTACAAAGGTGTGGGCAGAGGGTGGGAAACTACAGGGGAGGGGGGGAGGGACAGTAACAGAAGGTGAGAGAGCTGTGGGAAGGCTGCTTTTTAGGAGCTATGGCTACCGAGGAGGGACTCAACCAGTCTTGATGGCTCTGAAGCGGGGTGCTAGGGTCACTATTCCACAAATGGTGCTGGTGCAATCAAACAATTGGAGGCAAAAGAATGAACCTCACAATTTACATAAACATGAACTCAAGTGCATTATGAGCATGTATTTAAAACAATGAAACTTTTACAAAAGAAAAAATAAGGGCCAATCTTCAGGATATAAGGCTAGACAAAGAGTTCTTAGGCTTGACATGATCCATTAAACAACACACTGGTTTAAAAAAAAAAAAAAAAAAAAAAAGAGGAAAAAACAACCCTAGTATATTACACTTCAGAGAAAAGACAACTTTTTGGCCTGACTGCTGTGGCTCAGTGGTTGAGCACCTATGAACCAGAGGTCAGGGCACATGCCTGGGTTGTGGGCTTGATCCCCGTTGTGGGGAACATGCAAGAGGCAGCCGATCAATGATTCTCTCTCATCATTGATGTTTCTATCTCTCTCTCCCTGTCCCTTCCTGAAATCAATAAAAATATTTTTTAAAAAATCAGCCTGCTTATATTTTAAAAATATAGATTTTTCTCTGTGAAAGAATGCTAAGAAGATGAAAGACAAGCAATGGACTGGAAGAAAATATTTGTCAACCACATATCTGAAAAAGGGCTAATATCTAGAATATATATTTTTTAAAAAAAACCTCTTTAAAGCTAAACAGTAAAAAGTCTAATTAGAAAGTGGGCAAAAGAACACAGACACATCTCTGATGATATAGAGATGGCAAATAAGCACATGAAAATAGGTTCAACACCATTAGCTAGTAGGGTAATGCAAATTAAAATCACAAGAAGATATTGCCACATACCTATCAGAATGGGTAAAAATGAAAAATAGCAACGACACTAAATGCTGCTAGGATGAGAAGGATGTGGGTCACAAATACATTCCTGGTGAGAATGTAAACTAACACAGCCACTTTGGAGAGCAGTTGGGCAGTTTATTACAAAACTAAACATGCAGCTAATATTCAACTGAGTAATTGTTTTCCTGGGCATTGACAGAAGAGAAGTGGAAACCTGTGTTCACAGAAACACGTGTACAGGACTGTACATGGTAGCTTTGTTTTTAGCTTCGTACAAGTGCATGGCTAAATAAACGGGTGCATCTATATCATGCAGCAATAAAAGGGGATTTATGCCGACAAGATCAAAGGATGGCAAACAGATGTAGGAGATGCCATCAGCTCCGCCCAGACCCCCTTGGATCCTTGAATCATGTCTGTAGGCCCACGGCTGCTGGCTTCTATGTGTTTTGCTCTAACTACCGGCACTCTTCATTCTGAGGATTGCCTTAGGTTAGGGAGTTGCTTTGAGTCACCAAAAGCCAGAAGCGCGAGTGTTTCCTTCTCTCCTTCCCTGCCACCATCACTGCAGCAGAAGTGGGAAAGCTCAGCTCCCTCACTCCCTCGGATTACACTCCGGAGCTCCCTGTGAATCAGGCTGGGGCAGGCACTGCTTCCAAAGCACAGCCTGGCACCGCCTCTTCCTTTTCGCTGATCTTCCTCACTCCCTGATAGCTTTCTCTGGGATGCCCTCCCTCAGTCAGTCATCTGGGCACTGAATTTGGTGTCAAAGCATTTAAAATATACCCTTTGGGAGGGTCTGCATTCCATGTTCAAATATAATTCTTATAGCTTTGGGTCTTTATCAATGGTCATTATCACTGTTTCTGATAGCTTTCACTGGTTTTCTGATTTAAAACCTTGTCATGATTGAAAATCCTGGCAGTTGGTCTTCACATTCTTTTTAAAAAACAACAACCATAGCCTAAACCCATTTGGCTCAGTGGACAGAGTGTTGGCCTGCGGACTGAAGGGTCCCAGGTTCGATTCCGGTCAAGGGCATGTACCGTGGTTGCGGGCACATTCCCAGTAGTGGGTGTGCAGGAGGCAGCTGATGGATGTTTCTCTCTCATCGATGTTTCTAACTCTCCATCCCTTCCCTTCCTCTCTGTAAAAAAAAAATCAATAAAATATATTAAAAAAACAAACAAAAAAACAATAACCATATATGTGTTTTTTGTTTGTTTGTTTGTTTTAGAGAGAGAGGAAGGGAGAGATAGAGCGACAGAAACATTGATGAGAAACTTCATCAATCAGCTGCCTCCTGCATGCCCCCTACTGGGGATTGAACCTGTAACCCATGCCTGTGTCCTGACTGGGAATCAAACAGTGATCTCCTGATGCATGGGTTGACAATCATTGAGCCACACCAGCTGAGTGGTTCTCACACTCTTTTGACTAAAGACTAAGAGGCAAAAGACCTACCATGCCACATACATTTCACCCCCCAACCCACCCTTTTCTTGTGTGTGCATGTAAGGAAAAGTAACTCAGTGACAATAAAAAGCTGGAAAGGATGCTAGGAGTTGTTTATTCACTTTTAAAGGAAGAATATTGATCTCATCCATATGATTATATATTCCAAATTATGGCCTTATAAATTTTCAAAAAAAATTATTTTATCACAATTAACATTCTTCTTCCCAATTCTCTTCAAGTGTGTATGACA